CGGTGATAATTTCAGATCAAAATTCAGCTAATAACTATTTATCAGACTGAGTAATTACAGAACATAATAAAACTAATAAAAATAGTTAATAGTTCTTATTATGATTTTATGGTACATTGATTCTTATATAATGGGCATGAAACACTTATAAACTCCATCTTTTAAGAATATATGTGCAGTTATCTAATTAAGTATACAAAGGAATTATAATAATACTCCAAATTTGTTAACTGAAGTATTGTCAATTAGCTCTATCTATAAAAGGCAGGATGTGTGTGTGTAACGAATGCATGGCCGCAATTTTCAACGGATTTGCACCAAAATTTACATGCACATGCTCCAAGTTAACGGGAAGGCCAAGACTGACTTTGCATTTCCCAACTCCCATTGATAGTGGAAATAATCGATTTTTTCATGCTTCTATGGCAGTTTTCATATAGTTTGCGGCCATTTTCTACTGGCCAGAGTGAGAGCCTATAGCTGGCTGCCACGAATAGGCAGGAAGATTCTATTGGCCAGCGTGAGAGCCAACAGCTGACTGACACGAATGTTAACTAGCATGCAAAAAAAATCGATAGCTGCATTTGTCACAAGTGGGGAAAAATTTAAATCTGCATGGCACTTTACTCCAATTGGCTCATTCGTTTGCTTAAACTCAACTTTGATTCTGATTCCATAGAACTGGGTTGGGTGTGAAAAAGTATTTGTTGTTAACATTCTTTTTTCATTCGGTTTTTCCAGTTATGAGTCGTTTTGTGTTCATTTTGTTTAGTTCTTTTTTGTAACAGATTTAATGTTTAGTATAGAGCTTAGAAAAAATTCACAGTGTGAGATAGGCAAGAAGTAAGGCATGTAGCAACATCAGCATGGCAAAGGGCACTCCTTTAAAGGCAAGGAAGGGAAAAAATATTTTAAGTCAAGTGATAGCAATTGCTGTATGAGTTGTACGATTTTTTAATCAAGCATGGGCAACGCCGGGCCATGCTGCTAGTTATTCATATTTGACTTGTCTTTCCTCTATTTTAATTTCATGTGTGGCTGATGTAATGGATAGTGGCTCAGAATGAAAAAAAAACAGAGAGCCAAGTTTGAATTCCAGTTGGGTTCTTTACATTCACTTATACATGAGGAAGAGATGTTCTACCATGTTGACTTGATAGCAAAGGATCACAAAGAAGGAGTAGTTACCAGTCAACGAACAACATTCAGATGGAACAATACATCCAACCCATCTGATGGAAAAACACCTGACACTATTATGAAGCCACCAACAGCTTGCAGAGTGTTAGTCATAAGGTCTATGCTACACCGAACCCCTACCATCAGCCGACAATAACAAGAACCATGACTCATTAGATCATGCCACATATTGTCAGTTTTTGTTTCAGGGTTCAATTACTTATCTCACAAGCTCAGGTGCAGAATTGTGTCTGGCACCCTGAAAGTTTTTCTTCTCCCATATCCTTTGAAACTTAAAAGTTGCTGAACTAAATTGCTGGATATGCACCTGGTACCACCTGCATTGAATGTGATTTGTCAATTGTCTGTTACTGTAGACAATTCTAGCTAGGTCGCAGGGTCAGCCAATGTATTGTTCCTGGTGGCCAGTAATGTCATCCATCAGGCATTCCTGGTACACATGACATCATTGATCATGAGATGTTAAATGTCTCTATAATTTCAGAAATGGACTGTCTTGGCTGTCTGGCATCCACTCTCATGCTCCATTTGAATTCCAATAATTCATGTGTTGCTATAAGCAGCCTAGATGGTGTTCATACTAACTCATCAAATATCAGAGCACATTTTTTTCTTTTTTCTCCCCAAGCAAGGCAATAAAGCCACTAAGATGCAAAGGATTACTCAAAGTTAAGGGAATATGAGAAGAATATACTATTTAAGAGAGAGGACAACAAAAGAACAGGGATTAAGAAGACTGAAGATAATGATTGACAATGCATTTAAATGTCTGAAATTTTTTGTCTGAGCATTGCCATAATATTAAGATATAGTGGCATCATCTACCATTACCTTTACATACTGTATTCTATGACTTTTGGCACATCAGTGTATGAATTACTTAATCAGCATAAATTTTAGAGCTACAGTCATCTTTTATGATAGTTACTGGAGGACATGTACTTGCTAGCTATAGCAAAAAACCTTACTGTATATAAAAAGCAAGCTAGCAGAAAAGGTGAACATAAAGCCAGAAATATTAATTTAAACACATTCCTCCAACCCCTACACAAGTCATTAATATAACAAGCACATTTCTCTGTATCTGATATGTGAGATTTCCCACATTAGTGTACTTCCTCTCAGTTGCATCTTGTTCCCCTATAGTTTTCACTAAGAGGTATATTTAAGTACAAGGGATCAACCGCTACTAACAAACGTCACTGGTACTTTGCATGCTGTTATCCGATGACTTCTAGCATGTCAGTGCTTTGATTAATGAACCAATGATATTTTAGAATGGATGCGTACATAGTATAGCAGATGGGCAAAGAAAATAAGATTAGTAGGTCAAGTTCAAATTCTAGCTGAGGTCATTGCATTCACTTTCACACAAATACCCTTGAGAAAGATATGACTCAATCTCTTCTCTCCCTAGCTAGGAGTTAAAAGCAGGGCAGATGGGGTTCCCCAGCTTTGGTTGGCAACCAGTCTAAGAGAAGGACAACTCTGAATTTAAAATTGGTTGGCAATGGAGCTAGCAACTCCATCCTATAAAAACCTACACCTATCATATTTTTGTGCATAATACAAGAAATTTTGAATGGAAATTAAAGGCAAAAAGTTTGTTTTTTTTATACACCAGTACATATTTTCAGGAAAATCACTGAAATTGATTAAAAAAAATTATATAAATGGAATACACAAGACCTGTCATAATTTGGTAACATTAATGATACAACAAAGGCCTAACTATTCTATAAATTAGGTACTTTTTGGAGTTTTTCTGCTTGAAAAAAAGGGTGACAATTCTCGTGCTGTGAGGTTGTTGTTTCCTTTTCCTCTGTTTGTTGACACATGTTTAAAATTAGAACAGTTTTGCTTACAAGTTAAAGTTTGTCTATATATTGATTTTTTTTCCTTTTATAAAGTTTTCTCTTCATATATATATATATATATATATATATATATATATATAAATGGCAATTTCTGTCTGTTTGTCTGAATGAAGTTGCTGTTTAAACCCATGAACCAATATTCATGAAACTTTACAGACATGTTAAACTAATATCCAGTTTGTTACTAGGCTAATTAGCTTTTTATAAAATCTATAATGGGACCACTAGGGGCCCCTAGATTGCAGCTCATTAGGTTTTATGTGAAATGTTGTTTATTGTTTTTAAACAAGGGAGATAATTGTTCTTGCAAACTCTAGAAACATGTATTATGAAATAATAACAAATAATTATAAAAAGCTTAAAATTTCAGACAGATATGGATCTTTGTTCGATTTTAAAATTTTAAGAGACAACATTTGAACAAATCACAGGTTATTGTTCTAAATAAAATCTTTGTTTAACGCATTAATTCAGTATAATCTTTCGTTGAATAAGCACTCCATGGTGTGTTTACATTGCAAAAAAATTAATGTTTCAAATTTCACCATGTGCATCATTAAATTTGCCAGATTTGAATTTATTAAATACAAAGAAATTGGTTTAATCCATTCGGTCATTTATATGTGAAATAACATTTAAATTGAGCTTATTTGTGAAATAGAAACTTTACCTAAAATAGTCTACGTGTGGAAATAGACATCCTTCTTAAAAATTCCAAATGTTCTTAATCAGCATGATTTCCCATCAAGTTTTACATTTAATTACAGATTGGCATCTCCATTAATTTGTCAAAAAAAAAAAAAAAAAAAACAAACAAAAAAAAAACAGCATAGCATGATGAAAAAAGGCCCCAAATTTAATAAAAAAAAAGTTTTATTGTGAAAATGTTTGTTATTATTAAGACAAAAGACCAAAGTATTTTTTATTACTTTATTAAATTTTTCATTTTTTCTAGCACATTCAAAATATAGGTTAAAAATCTTGTTTTTTTTTACATCAGCTGTTTACTTGAAAAAAACCTTTAGAAGGAATATTTTAATTTAATTTTTTAAATAGAATTAATTTATTGTTTTTCAGTGAAGGACATACTGAAATTATTAGTTATTTTCTTTTTTTAGTTCCAATTCTAAGGATGTAAATGAAATATTAAAAATAAGGAAAATTAAAAATTAACACATTAAAAATGAGAGAGGTACCTATAATTATTAGTACCTTATGAAATTTTATGGCATTATTTTTAATTATTAATTTTTATATTATTTTAGTTGTGAAATTTTTTCATAACTGATATATAAAAATTAATAATAAATAAAAATAATACCATAAAATTACAAAAAAATTAGGTACCTCTCTTACGAAATTTTAAATTTATTTTATTGTTAATATTTTAAATTTTATTTTTTCAGAGATCATCTTCAAACATAAGGCTATAAAGCTAAAGTACCTAAAACAAAAAGAAAAAAATCAATAAAATATAAGATTGCTAAAAGTATTTGTTAATTTTTAAAAATTACTGTGTATTTAAATTAGTTCACTTAAGATTCGAGAAAATTATGTCACTTCTGTTCTTCTGTCTGATAACTTCCCCTGATCTAAGCTGTCAATAAATTGAGTACCACCTTCAAAACACTGTGGTTAAGACATGCTTTTTAATGGTATTCTGCTGATGCCAAAAAAAAAAAAAAAATAATTAATCCAGACCCCTGAAGCCCTCAACCACCACGTCCACAGATATTACAGGTCACTACCTATAACAAACAGGTGGCTTCATTGGTAAGGAGGGTTCTACCCCCTCTGCAGAAGTGCAGTTGGCATATTCTGAAGCCCCAGTTGACAGGGTGGTACATTTTAGAGCTACTTTTATCTTTTATGATTGATACTGAACCACATGTATCACTTAACTGAAAAATAGATTCAGCTCACCGAACAATTCCTTCAATCTTTTTCCTGTACTTTGGATCAATGTCTCCCTGATATTCGTCTCGAAGTAACATGGCTGCATAACTGAAAGAGGAGTTGCGCAGACCAGCTCGATGACACTGGATCACGGTTGACGTCAATATGGGAACAATATCTGCAATGATATAATAGCATTATTAATTGCAAGAAATATAAGTATTTTGAAGCTTCAGGGATTTCATATCTTGGGTCATGAAAGATGACCTTACAATTTTGCCACATAAATCAATGTTTTTAGATATAATCTTCATGTATATCATATACCCAATCCATCATCCATCAAGTTGACTGCAGTTGGGATCATATCGTCATTGTGAACCCCATTATCCTTTCTTTGGCTGCATAGTATGTGCTTTGCTGAGTTTTTCCTTCTCCTAAACTGGTTGCATGGCTAGAGAGCTTAGCCTACTCTACTATTTTACCCATGGCTTGGAACATATATATGTACAGGGGTAAAGTGCATGAAAAGTGAAGAAAAGAAATAATCTTCAAACACAACTCTACAAAATCAAATAATTTCATTACTGAGTGTAAAAATAGTTTTTGTTTTCTTTTAGAGCTGAAGGAAATAAGTTATAAAGTTCCTCACAAGCAAAGTTTATTTGGAAATGTTTTGTTTTTTATAACTCAAAAGAAAACATGAATTGTGTTACTGGGAAAAACCAAAATCTATCAGGTCATCCCATAAGTTCTGTCCAAATTTTGAATAAAGAAAACAAGTGACCAAATGTTACATTCAATTACAGATTCAATCAACAATGTATTTTCCCTGATTATCTATGACTTCCTTCCATCTATTAACAAGCTTACTAATTCCATTACTATAAAATTCTTTTGGCTTTGATTTGAAGAACTCACAAATGTCAGTTTTAACCTCTTCCTGTATTACAAAAGCTGTTTCTTCCAAAACAGAACAAATGGTAGTCTGAAGGAGCAAGATCGGGAGAATAAGGTGGATGAGGAATTTTCTCCCAACCAAGTTCTTCGATCTTTTGTGACGTGATTCTAGCTGTGTCATGTCGTGCATTGTCCTGATAAAACATCACCTCTTTTCGATTCACTAGAGCAGGTTTTTTTTTCCTCAAAGCTTGGTTCAAACACTCTAATTGCTGACAGTATATTTGAGCATTAATTGTTGCATTAGGTGGTAAGAATTCAAAGTGGATTATTCCTTGGTGATCCCACCAGATTGAATGAAGAACCTTTTGCCCATGAAGTTTCCTCTTCGGCTGTGGCTGGGGTCCTTCCCCTTTACCAAGCCACTGTCTACGACACTTAAAAGATCCATTTTTCATTGCCAGTCACAAGTCTATCCAAAAAAGGTGAAACAAGTTGGCAAGAATGGAGAGAAGAACAAATGTCAACTCAGGATTTGAGGTTGTTTTCAGACAATTCATGAGGCACACATTTTCCAAGTTTAGGAACTTTTCCAAGTTGTTGAAGATGACGATGAACAGTTGTATGGTTTGAAATGAGAACCAGTGCCAATTCCTCAACTGATAAAGCTGGATATTCTTCAAGGGATGCTTCAAGAAGCTTTTCATCAAACTCAACTGGACGTCCGGTTCGATCTTCATCTTCAAGGGTGAAATCTCCACCTCTGAATTTTGCAAACCATCTTCTGCAAGTTCTTTCATTCACACATTCCTCTCCATAAACTGAGTGAATGTTTCTAGCCGCTTCGGCTGCTGAGTTTCCTTTCTTGAACTCATAAAGCATTATGTGCCTCAAATGATTCTTGGGTACTTCCATGTTAGCAGGGTTTTAATCAAACAAAATTTAATTTTATTGTTCTCTGAAATAAAATTTGATCAGTTTAAATTCATCTAAACATAAAAATAATGTTCAGCTCCATTAGACATTATAAAATACTCTTTAAATTTTGTTCATTTTAACAAAAAGTTAAAATTTGGACAGAACTTATGGGATGACCTGATATATATATCTGATTGAATAAATTACATTGTTTGATAATTTTTAGTAAAATCCATTCATACTCATGAATAACCTTGATGTTAAAGGATGAGAGAAATGTGCTATAGCTGTTTAAATTTTTTTTATTTTCATTTCCCAAGTACTTTCGATCTTCCAAGGTCATCTTCAGGGGTGCAAGTAGTACAAAACTATATGTTGTTCATTAGTATAAGTATTTATACAAAGTTGTGCATTTGTTATCCATCACTGTAATTTTTTCATTATGCATTTAAATGCAAAACAGTTGACAATGTGCTGAGCATTCATTAGAACGTGAAAGAATTATCCATTATTAGCAGACATGTCTGTAATTTATTCAATCAGATATATTTTATATATATATATATATATATATATATATATATATAGCAATTTCTAAAGAAGTAATCAAATTTTAAAGGAAGCAAAACCCTTCTTGTCATAATAATTTTGAATGTGGTTATAATTATTTTGTTATTGTTAAGATTGGAGATATAGTTCTGGATAGTAGATGTATGTTAAGGAGTTAGTAGGTAGTATTATATGACTGGTTTTATCTAGATTATTGTCATTGTTATATATATATATATATATATATTTTTTTTTTTTCAACATCAAGTGAAGCCATGATTTCATTGTCGGGTTTTTCACTTTTTAGGATTTGGATTACTTCTAATGTTGACTTAACACTATATTTACTAGGAAGGTAGGGAGTAATAAGTTGGTTAATGTATTTTGCTAGATGATATACAGGAGTTAAAATTTGCGATATGATAGGACAGAGAGGATAGTTAGGTTTATGTGTTTTTATAGTGCCGTATATGTAACGAGGTCTATAATCACTAACAATTTTAGGGAGTTTTAAAGAGTTCTGTTCAGCATTATTAGCATTAATAAGTTTATTAAGCATTGATTTTAGTTGGTTGGTTGGGTTCTTGTTAAGTTTTTTAAACTTTATGTGATCATGGAGTATGTGGCCAATTCCAAGTATTGATAGTATTGTGGGCTTATACTGTATATATTGTATATACACGGCACTATAAAAACTCTAAAATATACAGCACAAGCACCAGACCATATGTGTCAGTAATATTTAAAGCATGGATGAATAGTAGACTTATAGATATGCAAGATAGATTCTGGAGAGAAAAATTGTCTAGTCTGACACAGTGAACCAACTTTCTTATCAGCTGACCTAGCAATGGATACAATAGTCTTTCCACTTCATATCAACCAAGAATGTTAGCCCAAGAAGGCACGATAAATCACTCTTTTGAAGGTTACATGGTTGACTCAACTAGTTGGCTAGCCTTTACCAGAGACTTCTTCATAAACTTGAAATATTTCAGTTTAGTAAGTTTAACTGTATAGATGTTAATGTTCACTTTGATGTGAAACAGGTATTAATGTGATGACTATATTTTCTTGAGATGAAGTTGTTTGTCAGAAGTACTTTTGTTGATGAACTCTCACTGAGTTATATATTTTATGTCTTTTATAGCAGATTCAAATTTATCACACATGTTAAACCATACATGATTTTTGACAATCACAATCTCTTCTGATAAATTCTGCTTCATTCCAAATATTGCTTTAATTTATAGAAGACATCTTAAGTCATTTTTCTTTTTTGGAATGTTAGTTACATTGCTGATATTTCTGGTTATTTTTTGTTTTGATTCATTTCAAAGATATTTTGCACACTATTCTTTATTTTTAGTGTTGTTATTGATTCACTAACACGATCTGCAGTAGACCATTTTTTTTGTTCAGTGAAGCCTGATTTCACTGATTTCCTCATCAAAATGATAATTTGAGATTCTGTTGTTTTCGAGCCGTTTTCAGAATTTCATTTAAATTCTTGTACTATTTCAATGAAATGACATGCAGATAAGCGAATAATTTTTCTACCATGTCTGATGCCTTTTCCTCATTTATAATATTCAATATCACCTGTTTGATATACAGAATTAGATGCTCTTATTTGATGATGTAGTGCTTTTCTTATCCTTACAGAATATTCAGCATGTTGATAATGAAGAATCTTCAGAAGTTTGGCAAAATCTTCAACTAATCTTGTGCCATGTAGATTTGGAGATGTGTTGATTAACAACATGATGTCGCTTCCCTCTGTCTTTTCTACAAATATTTTCATGTCAACTGTTCTGATGAGCTTTTTTTTCCCCTTAGTGTCTCAACTAAACTACAAATGCAATTTGCAGGTCAGGAACACTAGAATCAAGCAGACACGAAAGTTTAAATATCTGGGAAGCATCTTGACAGTGAAAGGTAAGTGTGACACTGAGATCCGTAGACATATTGGGATGGCCAAAGACACATTCCAAAAGCTGGGAAGAGTATTGCAAGACTGGAGGATTTCTTTGGTAACAAAGAAAAGAAAACTGAACTGTTACATTGTAACAATATTTAGCATGACCGAATGGAAGAAATTGCATTAGTTTATACTATTGATTATTAGAGACCAAACAGAAGAAAATTATATTAGGTGATGTTCTATTCTGTTTCCAATACGAACAGAGAAAAAAAAAAGATGATATTTTTTTTTAATGAGGTAAAATTATCACAAGAGTCATGGTATTCTCAAAGTAAAACAGTCATATCGGATGAGGTTGTGGGGATCAATCAACAGTTGACGACAGCTATGAAACAGGACTGTTTAATCAAGGAGAAAGCATTTTCCAGCTGTGGATTGTAAACTAAAAAAATGTGACAACACAGAACAATGGATGCCCTCTGACCCCCCCCCCCCACAGAATGAGTTGGAGGTGAATTTTGTTAACAGGATTTAAACAGGCCAGGTGGTTTGGAGGTTCTAAATTTGAACAAAGCCAAAACACATTTATAAAGTGTGTCATAAGGAAATTGCTTATTCGGTTATCTATGGCAGGTTCAAAGGTTATACTAATTGGTGAAATATAAAAAATAAATATAAACTGAATTTTCCTGGGAAACTAATTTGGTATTTTGGAAAGAAAGAAAGGGCCGAGAAAAGGAGTGACGTCATGAAGACGACACTATCCCATTGGCTGTGTCACGAGGGAAGAAGACGAAAAGAATGATGTCATAGAAATAATGCTATCTCATTGGCTGTGTCACGAGGGAAGAAGACGAAAAGAATGATGTCATAGAAATAATACTATC